TGTATCTGTGGTTTTACGGCTATATGTCGACTACTATTGGTTTATTTCTAAGTCATTTCCCCGCTAACAGCTTTTATATTGCAGAATTAGATGCAGCTTGTGCATCCAAACCTGAAAAAAAGTCCTGGTTCTGACTATCTTTAGCTTCAGTAGGTTAACATAATCAGGCTGACAGGACGAGGTTTACATGTTTTTCTTTTTCCTGTGTGTTAGGAATGGAGGTCTATTAACCTTTTACCTCAGTTAAAGTCTGCAAAAGGCCATATTTTACGAGCATTTCCTAAGTATTCATTCTTAACTTTTCATAAGAGGAAATGTGCATCTTTCTAAACTGAAATAATGCATTAATAAGCTTTGATACAAGAATACTTGAGTCATTAAGTAACTGATATTTAGCTTTGTCATTAACTTGAAGTGTGTATGTCCAACTGTTATTTTAGGACTATTTGTAGCTTAATAGTTTGTGTCTGTACTCTGAATAAAAGACTTAAAGTGCTAACGGGTAAGAACCTAATATCAGTTGGATATGGTCATTGTCAGCTATCATGAAGTTATAATACAGATTAACCAATAATAACTTAATAATAAAAGAGTTTTTTAGTAATGAAAGTGAATTTTCACAAGTACAAGTTGTTAGAAAGTATAAATACTGGACCTTGAAGTGGGTGGATGAGTCAGTTTTTACAGTGTTTCACATCCTAATCTGGGGTTAATTTAGTCTCGGCAACATTGAATGCCCTCCAAAAATATGGAGGCCTGCTGAAAAGTTGTCCCCATCTACAGGATTTTATTTATTTATTATATTCGTTTGGTTTGAATATCACTGGCTAACTTTTAGACAATAATGCTAATCTTTCTTTTGGTGTGTTCGGTGTTTACATAGTCATAGCACAAACTATTCTGTGGCTCTTGAAAAATCAGTCAAAATGCTCAAAAAACTCTGGCAGTATGGGACTCTGTTCTGAAAATGGCTGGCAGTCAATGAGTTAAGCACATCTCCTCAGAAGAGAGGCTGAGATAAACACCAGGCTGAAGGAAAACTGGAGTTTCCTCGCCTGCAATGGTTGGTGGCATGACATCACCACGGCAGGTGTCAGAGCCCTGAGTATTGGAAATAGAAGGGGTTTTTCTGGCCAACTGAACAGGAGGTTCACCACAACGTCCTGCCACCTTCGCTATTAATAGCCCCAATCATTCATGACTCCATCCTCAGGCCGGGTTAGAGCCCTGTTCATAACACCCCCCCGGTGCACAACCTCTCCTCTCATTTCTGATCCTGTTTGTGAACACTCGTCTCATTTTAGTTCATCTAGTTTGAGTTTGAGTTTGTATCTAGTCAGAAACTGTGCTCCAACCCGTTCCCCAAAAGTAGGTCTCATTCCTCCACTTTGCATCTTATGAGTAGGGTTGTCAAAAATATCCATACTCAAAAAAGTATTGATACTAAAACGTTGTATCCGGATACGAGACTCATTTAAAAAAGTATCGATACTTCTCTTTTCTCCGATTTATTTATTATTTACGTTGTTTATGGTCATTATCGTGACGTTAGCCTTGAATTGCTAGCTGCGGCTAATGGCTAATAACAACACGCCAACATTAATCAAGTCTGCAGGAAGCCACGGATGGATATCCAACTCCCCCACATCCAAGTCGGCCATTTTGATTAGGTCACCAATAGGAAGATCCCAGGCAAGAAAATCCTAATTGCTTCATGGCAATATAGATATTAATTTAAAAATAGTGGAATTAATCTTGCAAACACTGAATTAAACTCTATACATAACATTATGTTAAAATAGTGGAGGTTAAATAGGTTTGTACAATAAGTCCAAACAAGTTTAACCAAAAAAT